TTATTATTATTACGAGAACCAATAAACGAGTGGCAATTCAAAACGATCCTTGGCACTTGAGCGTGTCCCCACAGTATGCTACTAGTTTTCTCGATAAAAGTACAACACAAGTATGAACAGCAGAAAAAAGCATTTATACTGATATATGAAAAAAATTACGTCCTCCCAAATGGGAAATGCGCTCGCAGGCAAAGAATCTGCTCTGGATCCATCCCCGCGCTTAAGTTTAAAGTTTCTTGACATCAGTCTTCACAGTTTCAACATTCTGAGAGTTCAATTTAAAAGGTTTAACTTGAAGATTTGGACTGTCTTGTGGTTTCGGCAATTGATTTCAAAGAGGTCACAGTCCATAGAGGAGCAGGAAAACAATGTCAACTCGTTTAACCCATCTGGACCTGTCGTAATTCACTCATTMTGTAAGGTCAAGTAACTTCCACAGCTGATTGTACGAACCCAATTAAAAAAAAAATGTCTCAACAGACTTTATTCAGCCCTTTAAGCGTTTTTCGCAAATAAATTCATTGTCTGTGTTRCACATTTTATCCAACCATTTACCGTTATTACCAATGACAACACACTTGCGTCCGGAGAGGGCCAGTTTGGGCTTGTTTCTCAAGAAAGGCATAAACTGACCAAGAAGGGTCCCGTCAGACCAGTTTAAGTGGCCAGTGTTTTCTTGGTCGTTAAGACCAATCCACGCACCGTGCTCATTCCAAACTATAATAAAGAAAGTGTTATAGACATTTTATTTTCTTCGTAAAAAATGTAATTACAAAAAAATGGTAAAGCTGACTTTTCCATTTGTTTTATCTGCATTTTTACTTTAAATGCACGGGCTAACGGYTATCAACTGTGGTGAATTCATAGGCATGAATGGTGTCAAATAATTCATTCAGTTAGCATTAATCAAAATCAAACAAGGGAGAGAAGAATGTTTTTAATGCCGAAATTCAAAGCTTCTTACTACAAGCCTTTATATAGATTCTACAATCGTTGACAAAATCCTTTGACCATTCCAGCAAATTTGCTCATTTTCAACAACACCCGCAGACAATTTCATCCCCCCTGATCCCTTAATGCAATGTTGCCATTGATCATGTTACCATAGTACACAAGCATCCAAAACAAGACCAAACATTGATGAAAGGGGACTAAGGGGGAAAACTGTGATAAAATAAAGGAGAAAAATGGTAGAGTGGAGACAAATAATTGTACAGTCCAAGGTTCTTTGGCAACGATTGTAGCTGGTAAAAAAGGGACTTTTAAAAAAGACTTTTAATTTTGCGCAAACATAATTATGMAATTGTCCAATTTTAAAATTGACTTCTAATTTTCTGGTCAATTCCTGTCAGTATTCACTGGCTCTCGATACTTACAAGTTATAGTTTGTATCTTGTTGATGTCCAATGACTTGTTTATCACCATTATATCTTTTAGGTATCCATGGAGGGTTTGGCTATTTCTTAATGCTCCTGAAGATTTAACACCCAGAAGAATATTCTCCTTTCCTGTRATTGACGGAAAGACATTRCTTSTCCARGTAGTTTTCTTTTTCCCATCGATGACGTAATGCCACAAACCAGTGGACTTGTTTCCACTGACCGCAAAGTGAATCCAGGTATTATATTCAAACCTGAAAAAAAAAATAGAAAAGAAAGAAATAAAACTGAGCCTGTAACTGTGTCTAATATTCTCTTTTTTGTTTTTAATTCGTAACTACTTACTGTGTTGCTTTTCCATGATTTTGACCAATGATGTAAACGTTAAATTGTGTTGTTCCAAACTGATAATAAAAGTCAATGATTTTCGACGGTAATTCCATCGAGAGTGGTTTGTTCACAAAAATTACTGGATGCAGCCATCCTCCCGATGTACCATGAAAWATKTTGATCCAAAACGTAATGGTAAAACCCTCGGGATTGATATCGACAAGAGGAATATGTGCATATCCTTGTTTACCAGTGAAATACAAAGCAGTCTGTCCATCCACGTATCTATACAKTACATCACCTGGTGTTCCTTTTAACCTGCAAAAGGAACAGATTCTGATCTTACGGTGGCGCAACACAACATACAGCAAATGAAGACGTGAGGTCCTCATTAAGAATTATAGATGAGATGAAACTCCTTACTGTACAGTGGGCACTRAWTGGTTCAATCTCCAGGCCTTATAGGGTACTCCAAAATCAGGATATTCTTTAGAAGAAAGATATAAATTTTATTTAGTATATAAAATGTGAGCATCAGTTATGTATGAGGATTTGCGCTGTAATGACAAAAAAAGCATATTAAAAGTCTGTTGAGAATAATATCTGTCATGTCAAATAAATGGCTCTCATTGGTTGAGAGTCAACCAAGTGATGATGGCTATTGTCAGTGCATATAGCTCTCCACTTACCTTCTCTGAAGTATGACAAGTTCAAMTGCTTGACAAAGACTTCGTTGACAAAGTCGTTTTCGTGTGAGCTGGTAATGGAGAGAAGATCACCACCTAACGAMTGACAATGGTGACGAGCATCGGTCCAGTTCTTCTTCTCTCTAAATAGCTTGATAGCAGCGTCTCCATAGCGACGCCATCCATTGCCCAAATCTATGACAGTCATTGTCACTTTCATTGATTTCTATTTAACAACTAGACCCGAAGCCCGAATGGGATATTGAACGTAGCCCATGAGGGGAGAGGTCTAATTGTTTTAGCATCCAACAACGTTTTGATTTTATTCGCGTTTTCTAGATTTTGAGAAACAATTTTTTTTGGCGTAAAAAAAAGCACTCGTGACTTGATAAAATCACTAATCAAGAAGAAAAATCAGACAAAAATCTCATAAACATAACGTCAACATTTTACTGAAAATACTTTTTATTACATACCTGCATAGTAATATAATACATTTAAAAGCTTGTCAAATTTTCATCCTTCTTCGTTTATTCTTTAGAAAATGATTTTCGCTGCCATGGCGCCGTTACCAAAAAACAAATTGCATTAAAATGTAGTTCTTACCTTCCTTGAATAGAATTCAGTTGTTGTAGCTTCGAAAAACCTGCAGTTTTCTCCAAATAAGCAATTTAAACTACTACATCTGCCATCTTGGATTTTGAATTCCCTTGGGGGCAAGGGAGAGGGGGAGGGGAATGAGTAAATGAACTTTTCTCGGGATTTCTGGAAAAACGTCAGCGATTTTGAGGTGACAACAACTAAATTCTTGTTAGAGGAGTCTTAACCTATGTGTATGTGAGGTTAATTTTTGTTACCGGTGCCATGGCAGCGCCAAAAGTGAACGATAATCGACCACAGAAGACGGACTAGTAGGTAGTCGCGGTTGCGAGTTGAACATTGGAACCTCGTTTATTGAGGAAAATTAAAACTTTTCGCTTGTCATTTTTTTCTTGAAAATTTCGCACCATGCAGAATAAATCTTTAAATGAATATATTAAATGTTTCTGTATTGAGTTTTCCTAGCTAGGTTTTKATTGAAAATATCATTATCCACCAGTACGCTTTCTTTCTAAAGTAAACATGAAGTTGGTCTGATGCTTGACAAATATTACTACTTCACTCGATCGTCCAATGAGTCTCAAAATCAGAATTTCAACTTGTTTTCAATTCTCTAGTAACACCTCCCCAAAGTCTATATTTCATAGACGATATTTCTTATCAAGATAAGGGTGGAAAACTGTAGACATTTTAAGTATTTAGGTCTTAGTTTGACTTCAAGTTTGCCGCACGCCGACCATCGTTGAAAACTTGCACTGAAAAACCGGTTTGAGCCCATTTGTTATTAAAAACACCGAGTTCTACAAAACAAAWATATTGATCGTTTTCAGTTAATAAAAAGTAATGTTTTTGCCATAACAACTGAAAATTGAAGTTAATAGCGCTCCGCAAATTATTGTTTTCCTCAAGTATGGGCCATGGTTGAGCAGACAACGAGAGCTCGAGATTTGAGAKATACCATTTATAAATTGTTGGATACTAATCACTAATAACCATGTAATGATGATTGTCAAAATCAATGGTTATAAAAAGGTACCCTATAATATTAAATAACAACTAGCCTTTATGGACTAAGAAGCATAAAAAACCACCCAGACACTTCCCCCTTATCCAGTATTGCAACAAGCTGTTTAAAATTAGATACAGTAATTTTATTTTTTTTTCCTTGTTGTTTTCTTTTCTTTATTTCAACAACTACCCTATCTTTTGGGCTTTTATATCTTTGAACCTGCATAATTGGAAATCTCTTATGCTTTATTTTTACTAACCTTCATAAGTATCAGGCTCTCTTGGAGAAAAAAAAGAGATGAGAGAAAAGGAGAAAAGGCTTCGTTTTTACCATCTCTTCTCTCCAGGGCCCCTCGAAATCCTTATACCTTTTCCTAACTTAACAGAACCACTTTTGTGCTCACCATATACATCTTTTTTATATAAGGCGCAGATGGAGTCAGTGCGCCAATGAATAGATTCGTCTGCCTGCCTACATTTTGTAGAAGTCAAAATATGTTTTATTTACCTTCTTTTCTCTTGCATTCATTGAAGTTGCAATTGTGAGCACTAACGTTCTACAGACAAGATTCAAATATTAATATTTACGTTAACTAAGGTCCCGTTCATTCGTATTGCATTCATACCGCCATTTCATGATAAGACCACCCTTCTCTCTCCACAATCTTGTTTGGATTAGCTTTCTTACTCGAGTTATTCAACTCGCATACAAAACTKCCTTCACTTGTTTGGTGGATATTTATAGAGAAGCACCATGGCAACCAGACGCAATCACCCCAGCAGAGATTCTTAARRGGCTTKACAACGGTCTTCATCACGTGACCTTCAAGAGACTGCGGTCCTTTACTTTCGATAAAGCGATATACTTCGCAGCAGAATATGGATTGCAGGTTAAAGGCTTGCAAAACGAACAGGACGTACAGAATCTAGTGAATTAAAGAGGAAAAAAAAAGTGTTAAGTTGCTCRCTAGTGCCTAGGTCACTTGGGTTTGGTGATGATTGCTAACGTGGATTCATACTCTTAACTGATTGAAATAGTAATTCATTTTAGATATCAAATCAAAATTAGTGATGATAGGAAAGCTAAAAGCCATTACTAAATATTGATTATTGATGTCAATATTCACTCTTCAAACCAATTTTATACAGCATTTTTAATGTAATATAAATAATATAATAATAATAATAATATAATAATATAATAATGTTTTAAAATTGATGTTTCCATAAAATGAAGACTTAAGATGACCTT